TCGTATTCCGCTCCGGAAGATGCTTATCAAGGATTGAATCTAAAAAACATGAGCTCACACGGTGCAAAGATAGTGTGGTCTTATTATTTATTTTTTTTTAGAGAAATCTTCCAATTTTTCACTTACCAAAATTTATTAATTCCTACTAACGTGCTCAACCTTACCAATCTTTTTCATTTTTCGCATACTCTTTAAAAGTTTGCCAACAAACTTGAAACTAAAACTGTTACTAATCCCAAAGGCCAAAGGGAAAATTGGACTTTGTTGCCATAAAGGCTTTTAACCTAAATCGTCCAAATTCGACACAATTTATTTTTACCTCAAATTTCTATTATGAATCCAATTTTCATTATAAAATATTAAAAATTATACCTCTTCGCCGTATTAAGGCTTACTTTTCGTAGGAAATAGAGACATAGGGACGTGGCCGCAACCAGATAGGTGTGCGCGTAATCGATCGAAATGTTATGCCTTTACCGACTAAGCAGTCGCTATATAACTGCAACCATAGTAACGTCTATTGCCCTAAGCTTTTAACCGACGAACACTGACTTAGTAGTAGCGATTTCTACCAATTCGGCTCCTTATGAATGGTAGTTCAAAAAATGTTCTCATTCGTTCGAAATTTTTCACATTTATATATGCCGAAGTATTATGTTTTTGTAATATTTTCATGCTCTACGTCACTAATACTACAAGGCTATATTGAGTTTGTGCGAATTTATGGAAAACGGATTTGATGTGGGCGCACCTTTTATTATGAAGAAAATGGCATTTTCAGGCAATTCGTTTCGCCGCTTTTCAATCGTTGAATCCAAACCGGACATGGTACAAAAAAAGTAATAAACAACAAAAGTAATGAATTTGGAAGAAGAAGAACTTTTGAACGATTGAATGGTTAGCGTCGCCGTACGCTGAGTAAATCAATAATATTAAACGCAAAACAGTTATTTTATGTAGAGGAAGGTCAAAATTATCGAATTCATCCGTTATGTACTCTGGTATTTCCGATTTTTTTTCATCATTTTTACCTAGAGAAGTCGCTGATCAAAATTTTTGCAAACACGTAATATATCGATCGAAACAGAGGCGATTTCCGAATCGATCTAAGCTTGGTTGTCCGTCTGTCCATATTGTTTTCTTGTTTTTTTAAACCGAAACATGGCAGTCATTTTTGAAATATTTTGATAAAATTTGGTGCACCCATATGTTTTGCCCCAAGGATTAGCGTTATTGAAAATAGTTCGCATCGGACTATTTTTTCGACTGCTTCCGATATAAGGGCGTCTTTTGAAAACTTGTTGTATTATCAACTGTGTTAAACGAAATTGTGCAGAGCATTTAATAGCGGGTCGTGTCGCACTACAATGTTTCTACTTGTTTAATTTATTTATATGCATACGACATTCGCTAACAAACAGTTACTATAAAATAATCTTATAAAGACATACAGTTAAGTTATATCGAGTGGCGCAAGAATTTTACCTAACGAGAATAAAGTTTTGCTCAAAAATATCAAAAATGGCAATTTTCTTGTTTGTTCTTTCTTTATAAAAAAAGGACTTATTTCAAGTCGCATTTGTATGGTAAATGGTCGCGAGAATTATCAAATTTTCAATAGTGTTCGTCCTTAGGTCGCGACATTTAAGTGCTCTAATTTTTGAAATGTGCGGTATGCAAGGTGAATACAATACTTAGCGATTTTACCAGTCCGATAGACCGGCATAATGTAAGCGGCGATTTAGTCGATTTTACTTTTCACATTAATCAAGAAATAGCGTAGAGCGGGTCTGCCCCTTTCGGTAAGTGTAATCAATTTAATACACTAACTACTATGAGTTGGTGAGCACAAGCACATGCAAAATTTTCTTTGGTACAATAAATATTAAATTGATTAAATTTGATGCAAAATATATTTATACCCAGCCGAAGGTACATTTGCTCATGTATGTACGTTATTTTTATCGGGTTTATTAACTTGTTCTTCCAAGACAAATGTATTGATTAAATTTTGATTAGATTTCGATTTTTATGTTTAAAGAAAAAAATATTAAATATTTATATATTGCACTGTAGTTGTGTGTGATTGACTACAATAAAGTATTTAAACGAATTTAAATAATTTTATTAAGAGCACTTTAAGGCGCGCCCATTACTCAAATGAATAAGATCAGAGTTTATCAGTTCTATTATTATTATTATTATTATTATTTTGTTTACGGTTTTAAATTGCCTCAGCTTTATATAAAACTTTTATAAAAACATTACTGCACTCTTATATATATATATATTTCGAAAGCATCATATATTTCATTAAAACCTGACCTACACTAAATCAGCTAAATCAGTTCAATGAGCGTTTTTGTTACTTTGGTTAGCCCAATGAAGCTGCGGTGTTTTTAATTAAAATTATATATATGTATATTTTTTTGTTTAAAGAAAAACAAAAAGAAAAAAAAGACAACGCATACCATACCGTACGTTTTAGTAGATTTATTACTTAATTAACTTAAGCAAATGTCCATATGCTGTATTCCTCCTTTATTAACGTCATTGCTTGCCTTGTGTGCGTCTGTATAAGAACATACGGTTTCGTGTTAAGAACATATGCTTTTGTCGTCCTTCATTGAAACGGGTGCATATTAAACAGTTAAGATGGCTTTGTAACACACCTTAGCGTCGATATAAACAAATGTTTGCATATTGGTCGCTACCGCCTTTAAAGTTTTAACATTTGTGTATAACTTGGCTTTGCAGTCCCTCATTGAATGGATATATTAAATAGCTTAGATTAGTTTGCAATATACCGCAGAGTCCTTATAAACGAACATCTACCTATTAGGCGATAGAATGCATAAGTTTTTTCTACAGTGCAAGTCGCTTCTTTAAATCGCTTAGAATATGGTGAGTTTCGAATCCAGTTCATTGTAGCGAGACGACGTAAGACTTGTTTAATTTAACAAGAACATAAAAAAAATTAAAGATACGATAAAAGAATTATTAAAACAAATTAGCAACGAAATATTAGCCCGCCGGAAAAGCTAATTGAGTTTACGTTTTTATACATAAACTAGACTTTTTTTTCTATTGCTTACAATCAGCGATTAACGTCAATTCACTACAATTGAAATTTGCCTAAGAAAACCAAGTTGATCCTGAACTTAAATCATATCTTTCTCCTTTTAGCATAAGCTCAATAGCAAATACATTATAATCGATTAGGGCTGAATGCTTCAATATCTATTACTAGGTTGTATGTCGGACGTTTAATTCCGAAAGAAAGTTCTGTTTATTCAATGCACAGCATTTGAATTGGATAAAGTACGAAAAAGCTTTAAATCCGACTAAATGAATCGTGTCGTTAATTAAATTAGCAATACATAGACGAGAGCAAAATCTATTCTAGTCTATTGTAGAAGGTTTGTCAAATCACAAAGCGCGGTCCAGTTGAATCCATTGACTGTTGTTTGTGCGTTATTACTTTCTAGAAAGTAATGTTCATAAGCTTGATTGTTGCTGATTTGAATTGTCGTGTGTGGTTTGTGTGGCAGTCTTCCGTTCAGAATTATTGTCAGGGATGAATCTCTCCTTACTAGGTATAATACAATAATAATAAAAAAAAAAAGAAAAGATCTCCAATATTTTTGTGGCTTTTCGGAGTCTTTCGAGCTTCACCATCTGAGTATTCCATTTTTTAATCTTTGCGCTGATCATTATAAGTGTGGGAATCTTTTCATCACATAATATTCAAACTTCTTCCCTACCTTTTAAATATTTTCAAAATTGTTGTGAGCGCAATTTTTTCTTTTCAAAGTTAAAATGGCGCGTCGTCGCCTCATTGGAAACGAAATTGAAGAGTAAAACGACATAAATGAATTTAAGCGCATAACCAGAGAATATTTTAATATAATTTGTGCTTGTTAAGATTTAGTTTAATTTTAACGAAAATATTGAGTAGAAATTATTTTAGTATGGATTAATATAGCATTGCGAACACATTATACTTTGTGAAGGTACAAAACCGGAACGTCTAACCCTAACTTGGACATCTTGAAAGTATCTGCAGAATATGAAATCAATCAAATATTTAACTTCATTAAAGCGGCACAGCTAATCGTCTCGTCTATTCATTAAAGAAAATTAAAAGAAAAAAAGAACGCCGATAATCTTTACTGCTAGCGCTGCTTAATCCACTTTTTTAGTCCAAGAATTAGATTCAAACAAATTAAACAAATTAGAACAATATAAGTATTTTAATACTATTTGTGTTGCAAAATCACTCAATAATATTGTTATGCTGTCGGGCATTGTCTTCAGTTACATCTTATAATAAGTAGCGGAAACGTTTACACTTGGAAACGTTTACACATATATCCGTGGCCAATGCTGTCATATATGTCATAACATTAGTTTTGCTATCAAATATTCCCTATTACGTATATGTCGAAAAAGCCTAACTGTTAATATTTTCTGATGAACATGAAAATTTGATATAACAATTAAATGGGCCCCACCCTTGGATCCCACTTCATATAAAATTTGTCATAAATAGTAAGCCCTTTAAAAAAAGTATAATTATTAATATTTTATGATGAAAATTGGTCCATAGTAGCAGTTTAGTTAAAAAAGCAACGGTAGCGAATTTGGATTACACAAGTCTATTTTTTAGGCCCCTAACACAGATAGGTGTTACCATGAAAAGCTAGCCCTTATATGGAGAGAATGTCTATATTCTAGTTTTAAAATTATGTTTGTAAAATTTAGATCAGGTCATATGATGTTTTATTCATTCATCAATATACGGGCTAGCGTGACGGCCTTGATCCATTATAATATTCTTACTTGTTTAAATTTAAAAATGTCTTTAATAAAATGTCAATATAATATTAGGTATAGCTATAGTTTAAGTGAATATCGATTAAACTATTTAATCTGAAGTGAATTCAATTTCGGTGTTGGTTTTCATTTTATTTTAATTTTTCAATTCACTTCTTCTTCAGAACATAAACTCGTTATGGTTGGTTTGGATAATGCCGGCAAGACGACTATACTTTATCAATTTTTAATGAACGAAGTTGTTCATACAAGTCCGACAATCGGTTCAAATGTGGAAGAGGTCGTTTGGCGAAATATACATTTTTTGGTATGGGATTTAGGTGGACAACAAAGTTTACGGGCAGCTTGGAGTACATATTATACAAATACCGAAGTAAATTAATAAATTGTTATCTTAAAAAAAAAATATATATCTTCTATATATATCTTCTATATCTGTTATATTTGTTCATTATTATCTCTATATATTTAGTTTATTATAATGGTAATTGATTCAACGGATCGTGAACGTTTGGCTGTGACACGTGAAGAACTGTATCGTATGTTACAACATGAAGATTTAAGTAAAGCCAGCCTTTTAGTGTACGCCAATAAACAAGTAGGCTTAAACGTTGAAATTGCTTTATTTAAATTTATTGAAAATGGTATTTATATGATTTATTATTAACGTTTCGATAATAGGATTTAAAAGGCTCTATGTCGGCAGCTGAAATATCACGTCAACTGGATTTAACATCAATTAAAAAGCATCAGTGGCATATACAAGCTTGTTGTGCTTTAACTGGAGAAGGGTAATTATATATTCGCATTCTAGTTCACATACCAAGGTTACATTGTGGATAGATAAGTAATTTTATGAGGGAAAGAAATTGGTTTTTCTTCTTTTTCTTGTTTATGTAGATTTGTGTTTAATTTTTTTTTCTTTTTTTTGTGATGTTCTCCGAATTGTTTTCATTTTGGAAAAAAACTTTTATTTACCATGTCGATAGCTTTCCAAATTATGGATGATTTTGATTTGGCATTTACTATCATATTCTCTATTAAAAAATGAATGTATATTGCATTTATCATTTGACTTGTAACACTTAAAATGACGTATGCCAAGAAGAGCAAGCGTCCCACAAAGTTTAAATAGAAAAATGAATTTTTAAGATCAACATCGAGAATGGAAATGATCCGTGTGCAAGTGTATCCCTATAATAGGTAACTTGCAATCTATAATCAAGTAATTGGTGGAACATTGTCGTAAATATTTCGCAGCCTTACGTGAAAGATTCCGAAACTGAAATTTCAAGAACTAACAAAAACAAAGTATTTTGCAAATTTTATAATTTTGTTATTTGTTATGCTTTAGACGATACTAATATGTTGTGTTGAATGCGACGACGTAGAATTATTCCCAAATATTCAATATAGTAACAATTCAGGATTATCTCTCCCTTTTTTCGATGAAGATAATAGTTCGTGCATGGTCGTTACTACAAAAACGAAAGTGATCGACTACCGAATTAATTATTATCAGGTGCAAAAGTAAGAAAAAAAATGCGTTGAACTTAAAAGGATGATAATAAGTGAGCATATTTAATGTATGCTCCATTACACGTTAGTTACACGTTTAAATCGTCCTTCGGGCAATTTGTAGATACTTTTGCCACGAACCCGATTCATTGGGCCATATCTTTTTATCTACGTAAGAACCGAAGCACTGCTCAGTAAGCAGCTGATCTTTTGCTACAAACAATAATCGGAAAAAGTTAGGTCTGGTGAATAAGTCGCCAATACGACAAGCACTTCCCAATTGAGTGCTTCATCAAGAATAGAAATTGAAAATGTGGTATACTATTCTGTTTGAAAAATAAGGTGAACCAGTTTGTAACGCCAAAAATCTTTAGATATTTTCAAATTAATTTGGTTTTTCATATTGGTAACACTGCATCAAACTATGCTTTCCGCTTTTTAGAATGAGTGATTTCGTTTTGAGCAAGGAGCTTGCATTAAATTTCCTTCCCGCTTATTACGCAAGTTGGGGGAGCGAAAACCGAGTCAAAGTCACTAAAAAGTCAACGTGATCTTAACAGTTTTTTTTTCAATTACCGTGATGTTGTAATTCCTTCCGCCAGGCATTAATTGTTAACAAGGAAGACCTTTTTCGTATTACGAAGGCGATGAAATTGATTTGATAGTATAAATTTTTGGGGATTTTTGGGGTTATAAACAAACTCAACTTATTGTTAGGACACAGTAGTATATGGTAGGAAAAGTCGCGTATGAGAACTCTTCATCAAATTCATCTAGTACCTGTATCTGTTACTAACTAGTAACATGGTGCTAACATGGGTTATTAAATGATGTTGCCATGATTGTTTAAGACCGTTTGTCCATTTGCGTACAAAAACTTAATTTCAATAGATATGTATAATTAACTATCTAAGAACTAAGAACAAGTTTTACGTAAACACGTAAAATATCCAAATATTTGGTTAACCGTCTTCGTATTAATTTTCTGATCGGGACAAATATCAAAGTTTTTAATCCACATTTGTAACAAGTCGTAAAACATGGTTTTCCGTTTTGTTATTGGCGGATGATGTTCGCATGGACACGTACTCAACTAAGGATCTATGTCTATATCAGATCCGAGATGTCTCTTTCTAGCATTCTAAGGAAAGAAAAGATGGACAAACGAGTTGAAAGACTGAAACGTAAACGTGAACCAATTCGCAATTTTACGCTGATATTACGAATATGTATACGTTGGGAGTTTTCGATGCCTATTTACGGTATTGACAAGTGGGAGGGGCTAGCCTAACTGGCTATAAAACATTTACATTTTTTTTTTTTTATTTTGTAATTGTGTTACCGAATATTAATTAAAAATACGAAATAACAATTACTTGTACAAGTATTTTTGTTTATTTTGCTCTTTTAGTCTTTATCAGGGCCTTGAATGGATCGTACAACGCATCAAAAAGAAATGACAAAACCATCATGGATTGCAATAGCTTATAGTGAAATCCTCAAGTTTTTTCTTTTCTTAAATTTAAAAGTATAAAACTGAAAGAAAACAAAACGCCCATTTTTCCCGGAATATGTGAAAAAAATATTTTCTGTTTTTTTATAATGCGTAGAAATATACATAAATGCTTAGAAATATTACAAACGTGTGCATTAGGTATTAAGTGAGAACTTGATGAATTGTAATCAATTAATATTTATAAAGAATTATGTATGTAATATATTAAGTCACAAAAAAGAAATTGTAAAAAAAATTTTTAAAAATATTAAATATTTCCAGGAGAAAAATATTTTATATGAAAAACAAAATAAATCTTCTTTCTTTTTTTTTTTTTAAATGACATAAAATAAAAATTAACCCTGCAATGCTAATAGTACGAAAAGTGTGCACCCAATATCCAATATCCTTTTCTTACTGAAGAGCGTTTCAAAATTAATTTTGTTTTTCTTTTGATAAAAGACTCTCTGCATATGATAACTAATAGTATATTTGCTTTTGAAAAGGACTAATAAAATGGATACACAACATTTCGCCAATTGGCTGAGCTCTCTACAAAATGTGACATAATTGTTAGAAAGTGTGGGCAATTAAAAAAAAAAAAAAGTAATAATTTGAAACATGTTATGATTTTGATGACTATTAAATTTTCTACTGCCCCTATGGGGGCTTGCATTTACATTGTGACGGATGCACTGTCTTTTTGAAGCGACAGGCTCCTTACATTCATTACGTAAATATAAAAAGTTTTCAAATTATCATACAATGGAAAAACCTAGTCGATTAGTTTTGTGGCACCTTTTACGCAATAAGGCGTTCCGTTTAAGTTTCCTTTTATGCGTAGGGCCTTTTTAAATCCATTACCGTGCTTCTATGACGTCCAGCGTCGATGCGTTGATGTATTGATGTCTGTTATATTCGCAGTCAGGATAACAAAAATTTGAGCAATATTTGCGCAGCAGAAATTTGAAAATTGGTACAATCTGCTCATAAATCAAAATTTATACAATACTATAATAATGTAATAGGATTCTTTTCATTTGCTCGACAAGTTCAGCGTGAAAATATTTCTCGTGGAGAAATTGAAACTTGTGCACCTAACGAATCAATTTACACTCTCTAGGTGTGGTCATTAAAAGTTTGCCTTTAAGTGAATGTAGCTGTCTTCAACTCGATGAATTGTATCATGCTTTTCGATTGCTTCGAAAAATAAATCCTTGTCTGAAAGACCGAATACTAAGTTTAAACGTACGAAATCTGTTGGAATTTTTCTTTTAAATTTCAAAACAGCATTAAGACTGAAGAGGAGACGGCTTGACTTTTAACCGATAACGTTGCAGGCGAATTTATGAATGCCTTATTTTTTTTTTTCTCAGGCTGGTTTGAATGCGAACTCTGCTTAATTTCTGCAAGCGAGTTGCAAGCTAACGCGACTTTAAAAATTTCGTTCATTAATTATTTATTAATTTCTTTATTAATTACGACTGAATTATTTCTGGGCTGCCGCTATCATGCTGCTTGTAAACGAACTTTCAACAGACCATAGAATTCTTATTTGTTTTTCGATGTCAGCAAAAATCTTAATTATTTTTTAATCATATTTTATGCACAGATGTGTTTTAAATCCTAAACAATAATGAAAATAATTTTTTAATTAATTTAAAAAAATATATATATAATATTTAATAAGTGTTTGTTTATGTATATTAAAATTTTTTTAGTTTTAATCCTAACTGAAATATATAACAAACGTATATGTTTAACCTAACATCTTAGACATAGTTGCCAAAATAAAGAAAACACTGTAATGAAATTGTGCAAAAAAATAAAAATAAAAAAATAAATAAAACAAAAAAAAAATAAATAAATAAAAAATTGAGAAATCAACATTAATTTACACACATTTCTGAAATAAAATAAATTTATTATAAAATTTAAAGCTAAGCAAAATTTATTACTTCTTGTGTTCAAGAAATATAGGACTCTAATAATGGGGATTAAATTGATTAAAATTAATCGTTAGTTTATATACGATCGAATTGAATAAATTGCTCACTCTATAAAGATTTTTGCATTTCCTGTTACGGTATTTAGATGTAGTTTATATACCAAAACGTTTTAGTTGCACTGCCTAAAGGCAAACGTATTTGTATTAGAAAAGGGGCGGGTTGAATGTTTTCTTGAACCAAATTTCATTGCAGCATGCCATTGCAATTAACTGCATGCTGAAGACAATCAAATCTTCCGATTTGTGTTAAAAATAATCAGCCATACGAGGGTAAATTCAATTTGTCACCTTCTTTAAGTAAACCGCCAAGGATATGCATTTGGTTTTATAATTTTTAGAATTTGATTTCGTACAAGACCGGCTAGTGAAGAATTCGATTTCTTAGAAGATCGAAATAAGCGATTTTCGTAACAATACATTGACTAATTAAGGGAACTAATACAACGGGTATCGCGAAATATCTTCAAAAGAAACAAACATAAATTGGATTTATGGGAAAAAATTCTCACTTGGAAACTAATCAATCAATATGGAAATAATATTGAGGTTCAGCTAATAAATTTTGAAAAAAAAGGTACGAAAAAAGATGTTAGCAAAGAAAGTATCGACAACGCAAGGAGAGGCGAGTTACAATCTCCGTACACTTGTAGTATTTTCATTTGTAACGGAGTCACAAAGAGAGAATATTAATATTTTCGCTAGATTTAGTGTGTGTGACTTCAAATATGAAAATGTGGAGACGGTAAATTTTAATGTATATTATTATTCAGATATCGAACATAAGCAGATAGTGAATAGTGAAGTGAAATAAAAGTTAGAGATAAGTGAGTTTAAATAAATGAGTGCAATTTATAATGTGGTAAGAGGGGTGCCATTACGCGCCCGGACAAACTAAACTATCCGCCGCCGTCCCTTTTAGTGAAATTATCAATCGAGTTGATCACGCCCTTCGTCCCAACTTGCTGGTTGCTCACTGGTGTTCTTAAACACTTAAATTATTGCTTAACATCCCTCACATTTCACATTTCGACATATCTAGAGTTCCACACTTTCGCCATCTTGAAGGAGCCTTAAAAAGTTTGAAACTAAATTTAAAGTGTTAGCCCTGTAAATCTCCCTGCCGCCTATGTTAAAGTAGTAAGAACAAAAAAAAAAAGAAGGAAATATCAAGAAATTTTCATTAGTAACTCATTTACTTATTTATTTTTTGTCTTTTTGTTTGTTTTATTTTTTGTTTTCGTAGTTCATTGTGTACGTAATTCCCCTTATAAAGCCTTATATTTATAAAACGACATATAAAACTAATGAGTGTTGAATTAAAAAGAAATGAAACGGCAAAAACAAAAAGCTCTGCCCTGTTGTTAATAAAGATAAGAAGAAAAATATGCAAACGTTTGATGAAATCATTCAAGTTTTGGTTTTGCTAGAAGACGGAAAGAAATATTTTTCTTTCAAATTGCATATGGTATAATCCGGTTAATTGCAATGAGTTCACATATGACAGATACGACTCATCTGGGAGCGCATTTTCTACCTAACGTTCATACAACACCGCTTGCATCTACCAAAAGATGCTATGAACCGAAATTTCGTTTCAGCGAGCAACAGTTGCGTAAATATCCTGAAACACAACAGTTAAAAATTGCTATAGCGGAGAAGATCGCGAAGAAAGAATATTTCTATGGCATTGAAATACTGGCCCGCAACCATAATCCGAAATTAATGCTGGACTATACGAAATTTGGTAAAATATTACCTCTCTTTACTTCGCTAGTATGGTTAGGCTTAGATTACAGCCGCGTTGCGAATGTGGACAAAGTTGAATCTTTACGTTTGGCTAAGAAATTAACAGTCAACCAACACGAAATGCTAATTGCGCCGCATTTATCCTGCTATGGTTTGGATACGAAGCGGTTGAAGGAATTTATGGAATTAAATTTTACTAATATTGTCATTGTGCGGGGTGATCAGTACGATAGCCAACAAGAATTTAAATATGCATCACAATTGGTGGCACAGATACGGCGAGAATGTCAAGGTAATAATTGCTAGTTTTTAATGAGTGGAAAAGTTTTCTATGCGTAAGCACGCGCAGGGCAATTGAAGAGTGTTAAGAATTTCTATTGTGTAAGTTTAATGTGTGCCGAGCAGGTTATAATGCTTATTTGTTTTGATTTATGTGTTTTAAAAAAATTTTATTTACATTAAAATATTGGGGTTTAGAAGGTTTACTTATAGAGCCTTTCATCTTTAAAGCATCCTTCTTGTCCAATATATAATTTTGTATCAGATATTTCCTCCCTTTTGCTTTACGTGCTATTAGAGACAAAAGCCGCTGGTGCGACATATTAACTTAAGCGCTTTTGTTACTTAGTTCTCTTTCAAAAAACTTTATAAAAAGGGCATGGAAACTTGTAGTTCGATACATACATTTTTCTCAAATCAACTTTGAAAATAAACCGCCAACGGAATTAGCACCAGAAACAGCGAAAAGAAGAAAGTCCAGAATCTCAAAACTCCCTTTTAAATCAAATAATCAGCGAGCCAAAGCTTAGAACAAATATATATAAAAGTCGAATAGTTTTCATTGGAATACTACTATGGACTCGATATCAAGGCGAAACTGTGCGTTGGTCGTGTATTTGGTTAGAATGATAAATATTCAAGATCCCCTCCATAAAGAAAACAGATATCACATTTAGTTTTCGAGTGTATAGAGATTCAAAAATTCTGTGAAAGATCCTATAGTACCTGCAAAACAAAAAAATACAAAAAAGTGGACCACGCCCTTAGTGTTATAAAATATTAATATATTTTTTCTATTAAAAGCTTTGAAGCGTTCAATATCAAATTACATCTAAGCATATTGACCTGTTCGTCTGTCCATCTGTGTAATAATACCTATGCCAAAAGTTCTCTCGTCCCCAAAAATTAAGATATCATGTTCAAATTTGGTGAGAGTATTGGCCCTTCCTACATATATGTTGGCATTAAAAATGCGCTATATCAGTTAAGGGAGAGCGTACAGCGCACCGTAAACTAACAACATCTCTGCTTTTCTAGGCTTTTTCATATCACTTTCCGTTCTTCATATGGGTACGATGTTACGATAGATACGCGATAAATATTTCCACGTACATTCTCGAAAAAACCGGCTACATCCACCCAATATTATAAAGAACGAAAGTTTAGCGCTCTCTTCTTTTTTTTTCTAATCTTATTTAGGTTAGAGGTAATGAAATTTTCTGATTTGTCCTTTACTTGTGATTTTTTGAGTCTATGGGTGGTTGCTGAGACGTTTAATTAAAAATATACAACAACTTTTTTATTGAATATGAAAAAAAGAGTAAAAAGAATTTGGTTTGCTTAAAGAAAAAATTTTTATTTGATTTTTCTATTCGTAAGCTCAAAAAGGATCGAAATAGTTTGCTCGGCTAGAAAAAATATAATATCGGAAGATAACAGTGTATTATTAATTTTAAAATTTGATTGTGAAAAGCCCAAGAAGTGAAGTATTTTCGATTGCGGGAAAAAAGCATAGAAACACATGTTATGAGTTATGGGTAAAAGTAAGTGCTGTAGCAAGGGACATAAATGTACCAATCAAACTAAGGTACAGAAAAAGTTTCATAACAAAAAAGACTTTATTAAAAAGTTAGTATCACTGCAAAAGGTGCTACTTTGAATCTACCGCAAACTTCTAAATACAAAAACAAAACAAAGCCGCGTACCAATGGGAGCCTCTGGAGATATGTATGCAAATTGATACTTCAAGCAGCTATGGACGTATTGAGACGACAGACCCTGCGGGTAAGGCTGACATGCAAGAACATTATATACAGTTGTGGCGTGCACCGACACAAACTTGACATATCCCAACGCGCCTAAATTGTTCATAGGGTTTTGTGTAGCAAAACCGTGTGCCATATACTGGAGCTTTGTATCGAGCAAGAAGGTTTACTGCGACATGAGCCAATTATAACGGTTATTACGGAATCCAATAATAAAATCTACGCCGTAAATGATGTAGATTTGTCAAAAAGGACGATAGCAACATTCACTTCTAAAACCCGAAATGTGTTGTTCATCGTTTGTTATTGTAGAAAATACAATATACGAATACGTGACCCAAACCAACCTTTGATGATATCCCTTTTATTAGATGAGGTGGAAGTGCGATCATTATTTTGATACCCGAGTTATGTCGTCCAATCCGTCCTACTGACATATTTTGTTCTAACATACCAGTAATGCGTACTGTGACTGACCATATCTGTTTAGAGCCTCGGAGATGTTCGCATGCTTCAAGATTGAAGTACGACTTTGGATAGAGAGTTTGCAGAGCTTGTAGGCTTGTATCTTTAGCGCGATCCTTAGCGCGTTATGTTTAAAGACCGTACAAGATTGTCGGGTGGTAATAATGCTGACTGAAGACCCTTACTCTGTTTAACCTATCTGCATGCGGTGGAGTGTCATGTACGCAACATGTGACACTCGTGAGGTACGCACTTTTGTAGATAGTTCCATAACACCAGCTCAAGGCATTCGTGAGCTTTGCAATATTGACGTAAAACTTTTGCCACTATAGATCAGAAATTGCTGATCAAAACATCACATCATCGTGAAAAGTGGCCAAAATTTGCATTTTGTTCTATCATGATGGCATAGGAGAAAGGTGCCTTAAACAAGTTTATATGAATATGAAACTTTAGATATTGTGGACAAGTTAGAGGGCGGATACAAAATGTGATATTGAGAAGCCTCCTATATGCGTTTATGCAGTTGTAACAGAATTCATAAGCAGTTGCCTTTCTTTTGACGAACGTAATCCTCCGCCCATTACCGTGTTTGGTTCCAAACAAACAACTAGAGAAACGATTCAGTTTCTTGGTGTACGGATTGTGGCACTGCAGAGAGATCGTAATCCGCCGGCAGAGAAACGACATCATACAGCACATAAAAAAAACAAACTTACAGTTCGCGATTTTTTGGATATTTCGACGAAATTTGTTACTTTGACGTATTGTGGTTCAAGGACGAAACCTATCGAAAATGCATTGATTAAACTAGTATAACTCAGTATATATATATATATATATATATATATATTTACATTTACACATTTAACTAGCGAATGAAGTAAAGATACCCCACCCATGTAGGTAGGCTGATAATTGCAAAGGGTTATAGGTTATAATAGAGTCTTTGCGAAACGCAGTGTAGATTGTATACGGCCTTCCTAGTTACCTTATGACATTTTCAATTACTCTTTAAAATGATATATCAAATATATACTAAGCATTTTCTCTTAGATTCAATAACCATTGCGGTTGCCGGTCATCCTGAGGGCCACCCGAGCATCTCTACAGTGCAAGAAGACATGCAGTTTTTAATTGAAAAAGTAAATCACAGTTGATGCAGATTACGCTTTGAACGGATGTTGTAATAAATCTTTAATAATAAATCTTTTTCTTTTAGATTAACAGCGGCGCTGATCTGATAATAACTCAAGTGTGCTTTAAGGCTCAAGCTCTTATAGATTTTATAAAAAGTTGTCGTTTGAATTCCATCGATATACCAATTATCCTTGGTATATATGTGCCAGATAATATGAAATCCTTGCAATTCCTTATGGAATTGACAAAAATAGAAATGCGTGAAGAAGATTTGCAACAATATCGTTATTACGCCGGCAAGGGTAGCGAGGAATTTCGTTTTTTCGCTGCACAAAAAGCAGCGCAAATGATTTTGACAGTGTTAAAAGCAAAAGATATCAATATATATGGTATTCATTTTTTTACTATGAACAAATTTGATATGGTAACTAAAGTGCTGGAGGAGCTAAGAAAATGTATAAACATATGAAGAAAACCCAACAAACGAAGTAAATCGAAACAAGTAAGAATATTAAATTCGGTCGATCCCGAATCTTTTATACCCATCACCTTTTAGCTTCATTTTTGCGGCCATCAGAATGCTTACAACAGAGATTACACAGACGGGCAGATGAATATGCTTAAATCGATTGAGGACTTGATGCTGATCGACAATATATATACGTTGTGGGGTCTCTGAGGCTTCTTTCTGGGCGCTGCAAATGTTTTGACAAAATGAATATACTCTTCATCCTTCGATGATGGATATAATAAAGTAAATATAAAAGTTTGTGAGCCTTCTTCATATAGCAATTGAGAATTAGTCCAAGTGTTTTGTTGTCGGAAACCTTACGATTTTTGTATCCTTGTGGCACTTAAAGTTTGTGCGTGTCCCAGAGGGATTTAAGATGGATCGACCTTTTGTTATACCGATCGATTAAGAATCACTTTCCGAACCAATTTTTGAGTCCATCTAAGCTTGTGTGTCCGTCGTGTTTTCTTCTGTTCGTCAATCTACAGGTCGTATTTGTTTGAAATATTTTCATGAAATTTCATACAATGACGTGTGCTTGCCCAAGGACAAACGCTATTGAAAATAGTTGGGATCATATCAGTTTTTCGATCCCTTCCAATATAACGTCTTATTTAAATAAAAACTTAATGCATTAATACTAATGTATCTAATTCATTTATAGTTATTAAGCAACTTTATTATTATATATTATAATCAATTAAATAATTAATTTGTGTACTTATTGAAAAGCTTGCTATTTAATTACATATATATATATCCAACACTAAAGTCATCGACGGTTTTCATATACCTATTTTTATCGTTATGTGTTATTTTGATCCACCATTTTTGTGACATAGCTAAGTTCGGAAAAATGAAGCTTAAAACATAGAGACTGGCGAATGGGTCACATATTGTGAGGTCAAGTTTTTAAGACTTCACTCCTATAACTAAAAGTAAGCAATTTTAGTCAGAAGCTGATCGGATATTAGCAGAGAAATATATTATAAGTTCAAAGTTGTGCACGTTACTGAACGCGTATCCGGTCCGCACGCGTTAAATGTGCACCTGCTCTTGTTTGGTTAAAAACCTCTTTGGGTAAAATTAAATATTTTATACTTTCATGTTACTAAAGGAGAGGGTAATTATACCAACTTTGATATATTATTTGATTATATTCATGTTCACTGTTTGCAGAGTCTAATTCTGTTTTTCAATTCAATGAAATTTTGAATCAATCAGGTATAGAGCGTGCCACCAATCATAGATGAAAACGATGTTGAGGAATTTTTTAGCCAAAAAGTTAAAAGTATTATCCTTAAATATGAGCCGATTCTATTATATCGAATAAAAGATAAAAGTTCATTCTGAGCAATACAAATCGTGACCCAAGAAAAATGAAGATATTACTTTTTGTATTGACACAAGTGTTTCGTCAGAGTTGTATTCTGTGTATTATTTTATGTCCATTGGGAGAGTGGTTATGTATTTATCTAATTCAATTTACATTAAATAGGACTGTAATAAATAGGAGGAATTAGAGTTGTAACTATCTAAAGGCCGTCGAGGCACCTACACATGTATTGCCGACTTGTAAAAAGCAGCGCTTATCTGTTCGTAATCGTACTGACCCTCTAATTGGTTGAACATGTATGATAGCTTTATTTCTTCGTGCTAGAGATTTTATACAATTTTTCACTGTTCTTACTATAGCTTAAAAATACGTGTTTGTGTATTTTTACAAAAGTGCTTGCTTCGCGATATTTATAATTTATTTGTTATGATTTTAATTTTTCTAAAGTAATTACTGACTCGTTCCATACGGCATTTCAGAATTTGTTTTTATAGCCATCACCGAGGGATGAGGGCTATATTTGATTTGTCAAAACGTCTGCAATGCCTAGAAAGAAATTTCAGGGATCCCACAAAGTCTATATTCAAGTATATATTCACGATTAGCATCAAATTCTAAATCGATATAAGCGTGTCTGTCTGTCCGTCTGTACGTCTGCATGATGTCTGTTGCAAAGATTCTCTTGGTCGTAAAATTGAAGCAATCGACTTCAAGTTTGGCAGAAACATTGGAAGTTCTTGAATAATAATAAATTGGGTTTTTGCCCATTACTCATATACTACAGCAGATAAACTTACAAAAATTTGAATGTATATTTTATGGGTGATGCTGTACAAAAATGGAGAAACATTGACATAATATATATACATAAAGTATATAAATTCTTGGCCAGCTTCATATGCGGAGTTAAGCTAAGCACGTCCGTCTGTTCGTTTGTCCACCTGTCAACCTGCCCAATTTACGTAGTACCTGCGATAAACATTCTCCCGTTCGCAAAAATGCAGAAGGCGTACAAATTTGCAAAAGAAAGGAATAATTATCTAAATCTAGCCTAGAGCGCCCACACACACGTCTATGCAACAGAAACCGTAAGCACTTTTACTTTCCGTGGTTTTTTTGCTTGTTACTCATAAAGTACAACACACACCATATAAATTTTTACTTTTTTCCTGAGAATAGAAATAATTGGCCGCGCCCCAATATTATTAAGTATGAAAATTTAGTTCTCTTCCTTTTGTTTAATCTTTTTTAGGACGACGGTGATGGGTATGAAAGATGTGCTCATGACTGAATATAATTTTCTTACTTGTTATTACATGCAGACGGCCGACGAATTGTGATACAAAGTAGAGCGGGTCATAAAAGTAGCGAAATGGCTTATGACAAATGTGCCAAGTTTATTGTACTTTGTATGAATTTGTAACAATACTTGTTGTATAGGCACACTACAAGAGGAATGTATTAAGTTTTTAAGTCAAATAGAGGCGCTACAATTGGCCAACATTGTTAAACGGTTTGAAGCGTGACATTGTCATAACTATATCATTCTGTGTATTCATTGCAATCACCTCAATAGTTTGCATGGAATATTGAATTTGACCGTTTAATCACTTTGGTCATGTTCGGGAATCAATAGAGTCGATCCATTTAAAAATTGAAAACTGAACCTTTCGTAAGCTTTTACATTAAAGTGCTACTTTTTAGGTTATGTAACATCGACTATTCTACTCGTCACATGTAATGAAATCGCATGTACATGTTATTTTTTTATAGTTTGATATGAGAAAATGGATGAACATAATCCTAAATAATCCTATGCCTCTATAAAATGAAACGAACTGTTTTAATATAAATTTTGCCATGGCTTACTTGTTATTCAAGTTAATTAAAAAATCATTGTCAGGTCGCATTATGATCCCAAACCCCAGTTTTATTGACCGAAAGTATTTACATTTGAATAACAAAATTTTGTGAGCAAAATTTAAATTTTTACTATACATTAGATGACTTCATTGGAAATAAAGAAAAAAACTTGAAAAGAAAATATCTTTTTTAAAATAAAAGTTTTAAAATTTAATTATAAAATAAACGCACTTCTACGCAAATATTACACTTTACTTCAATTTACATTTAATTATGGAAAATTGTTGAATTTCGTGCATGGAGGTAATCTGCAATAAAGATTTGTGCTCACAAATCGCGAAAAGCGCTCAAATGGAAGTAAACCTATTCAGCGACTACGCACTTTAAATTAGCTTCGATTTTTGATCTTATGATTTATAATCCTAAGCGAAATTTTTAAAGTTTGGGAAAAACTTATCAAATGAAATAGATTTCAAAAATTTAAAAGACTTCTGGGAGAAGTGATTTTATTTATTATCTGCAGCATTCAAGTTTTGTATATTTCGCATCACAAATTGCCACGTTAGGTATTCTGCTTGCGCAATTGCAACAATTGGGATAAGCATTGGAAAACGGCAAACACAATATTAGTTGAAAATGCTTTAAACAATTTGATATTCAACGATTTGTTGTATAACTGTAAATTATATATTATAACAACAAAATAATTTTTTTTGTTGTTTTCGAATATCTGTTATCAGATTCTAATTATGAAAGTGGTATTTATGGCCATAGCATGTTGTCATACAAATCGCGAATTAAATGTGAAAGGAACGGAAAAAAAATGCATGAAAAAAGGTTTCTGGGTTGAGCCATCTCGAAATCATTTGAAAAGCAAACAAAATCCCAGAACGTATCACGTCAAATGCCGCGAAAATAAAATAAAATAAGCAAATTCATTAAAACTTACTTAATATATACAATCAAGCTAACCGCCAGAGTTACTTAGTAAGGTTCTAACAAAGTACTTCGTGCGTACTTTCAATTTTTTTACTTAACTCAGTAAGTCATCCATTGTTGATTTGTTAAAGAAGATGAAAAACAGTATTAACAAGAACATAAAAATGTATCTTGTTATTATTATACTGGCTTTGAAGTGGATCTTAGATAGCCGCTATCTCAAGTGAGTACGTAGTGATCGCTTTTTGTTAATCGCTGCCCGATTGCGTCAATTTCCGCACTGCAGTTTTAGATTACTTTGCTAAATGCTTGTCTTGCATAAAACTCACGGTTGCTATAAGTTTGCAAAGTGTCCCGCTTTGGACTCTTTCCGCCATAAGTTTTACTGATCGAAGAGAGAATGATACAATCAAAATTGGCGTCAAGTCTAATTACAATTTTTTCAATCTGAATGTTTCACACAACTTGTCTACATTTTTGCCGGTCACCGTAGTGTTTGTGTTACAAACGAAAAGTCAAACGGGATATAAACCTGTACTTTGAAGGGAACATAGGTAATAGATGCTTGCATGTATTTTGATCATCGGCATGTATTGGTAAAAAAAAAGTAACATAAAGTGTGAATGTACTCAACGGTTAAATTCGATAAGAGTTTTCAATTTAGTATTATTGAGTTTATTCGCTGTGTACAGACGCTAACCAGGGAAAGCTCAAAATTGCATGTTCGACACTTAATGCTTTTGTTGTTTGGTTTAAAGGAATCTGCTGCCGAAGACTTTTAGAAACTTTTGATGACGCTACTCCATCGTATTGGCGATTTTGCTTGCAACGATCTAAAAGCGGTAATTTCAATGTCAATGGCAAAGAAGGAAGTACGCCTGGAGGATCAAAAAAGTTCGAAGATAGTGAAT